TGTACCTGTATAAACGGTGATGATTTTAGAGATTTAGGAGTCATGTAGAAAAAAAAAGTTAATAATGTAAGATTATAAGTTTAAACTGATAATTATTTGTAATTTTGTTACATCTAGAAACCAAAAAAAAAAAAATGAGTAGCACCCAACAAAATCTTACATCTGAATCCACAATAGTTATATGTTTTGTGTTATCGTCCTTAAAAGGATGATAAAAGTCTGTAAAAACAAAAACTTGTTATATCTAAATATAAAGAAAAATTTTAAACGTAACAAACTTCTTCTAATAAACAATAATGTACGTACTCAACCAAACTAAAGTCACTTGTCAAATACACAGCTTCCAGAAAGTAAAGAACAACCGCTTGCAACCAAAACATTTTTACATATCAAACCAAAATAACAGAAAACAAACCAAAATTATATACTAAAAAAAACATTGTTGGTAATCATACTTTTAGTAACATACATGGCACGCTGCTTTCTCCAAATGACAAGAAGATTTTTCATCCGTGTGATCCATGTAAATTTGGAAAAAGAAAACAGTCAGTAGCGATGGAGGATCTTATTGGAGGACTCTGGGTGAGGGGGTTGGTGGAGAGACCAAATTTGACCAGGTCAAAATATTTGAGTCGGTGATGGACAGGGTCAATGTTATTAAATGAAGAAAAATAATGGACCGAAAGTTTAAAAAAGGAAAATAAATTCGCAAACAAACAAAGGTTAAGTAGATTGACGTAGTTAATAACTTCAGTTGAACTAATTGAAAAAATATCACAGTGTCAAAAGCTAAGATCCCCAAAATGCACTCAGATCCATCAAAACACACAACACAATTTTGAACTAAAATTGGAACACCTTAGATCAGCTCTTCTTAAATTTCTCATAAAGCATACATGGATCTGATTTTGAGGTAATTTGTCTGAAACACAAGGAAAAAAAGTGTAAACACTTTAATCACACAATTTGTAAGGATATTTGACATGCTCTGTAAAATATTCTTGTATATTCAACAACGAAAAAGACAGGCGTCAACAATGATTTTACATACCAATTCCCCAAGCTGCCGTTTCACTATACTGTTTGACTAAATCAAACTTAGAATATATATAAGTTGATTGTTGAATTTATTAATTTGTGTGGAATTAGAGAATGAAGAAGTATGACAACAAAATTTCCATATATGGTCTCTTCCTTCAACACACAGACGCTCAAACCAAACAAAAGAACCACATGAATAAACAGGATGAAGAACCTGAAATCTTTTGGTGACGATTTGCAGCGTAAAAGCAACTTTCCTAAAATTATTCCAACACCAGTGGTATTTGGGGACTAAGGGTCAGGCGTCGCCATTCCTGGCGGCATGCGAAGCTCCTCCGGCGAACGACACATAGTCAAAATTTCAATGTTTCACATAGTATGCTTCGTGATGATATATGGGTTGTTGATGATACAGATGGAAATGCCCACCTGAGTCGTGGTTTTCAAGACCTAGATATGATGTTGCAAACTAAATATCGATGAAAAGAATCAGAGGGGACTACCTGAGGATTTCTTCGCAATATCCAACCCATTATGTCTTTAAGGCGCGTCAATAAATGAGTCGAGTGGTCCGATTATTTCCCCTTTTCTTCTTCACACTGGAATCGGAGGTCTCTTCCCTGTCGATCTCGTCCAATGGAAAACAAATTCGTCATATATGAAGAACATTACAGAGTTTTGGATATGAATAGAAACTATCAATTCTAGGGTTTCATGTTTACCTTGAAGATCATTCCATTAAAAAATCAGTGGTTCCTGTTGCTTAACTGGAGTAAAATCCGACCAGCACCGTCCTCTACCTAAGCGGGAGCGGTTCATACCTCGATACCTGCTGTAGAAGAATGCGAACCGGACATAGAACACATAAACAGTGTAACAGTGAGCTTATCTGAGGCGGAGGCAGGCCGGTGGTGGTTTTCTGTAAGAAGCGAAGGCGAAATAGCAGGAATGGAGAACCTGGGGAGACGATGAAGAAAGAGATGTGTATGAAGAGAGAGGCGGTGGAAAATTCCAGAATGTGGCTAAGATAAACATCAACAAATCCGACGGACGATGAACGACACGTGTCCACAAAGAATATGGATATTGACATAAAACGACCATAAACACAATTTGAATACACATACATAAAAGGGATATTGACATAAAACGACCATAAAGACAATCTGAATACACATACATAAAGGGGGACTATTCTTGCCAAAAAAACATTCCACTTCACTATTCCTAAAAACTATCCTCCTTTAATATATATATATATATATATATATATATATATATATATATATATATATATATATATATATATATATATATATATATATATATATATATATATATATATATATATATATATATATATATATATATATACCCGCCACCCGCCACTGGATACACGTGCCACTGGGAAGGGAATATAGTTACATAACACTTAATCCATTTGTCGACTTGATACTAGTTGCCAAATAAGTATCAGTTGCCAAATAAGTATTAGGAACATACAAAGCAAAGGAGCCACGTATGCACTATAGTTAACAAGTCTAGAAACTAACCAATCGGATAAAATGTCTTTCTAATACAACAATACCCCAATAAAAAACAAACAAACAAGTGAATACACTAAGGAAAACAACGTATATGTTTCATTTGAATATCTAACAAAGAAGGAACTATTGAGGTGCTAACAAGTAAAGGCATTGAAAAAATAGAAATCGACGACATTTGAAACAACGAGCCAAACTAAATAACTTTATATTAGCATACTACCAAAAGACGAGTTTGATTCAGAGTGACTATTAAAAAACTTGATTCCTATCAATTAACTTATTTCATAAATTTTCGTTTTGCTTTATTTCATAGGATTAACGATCCTTATATATAGACACCGTATTTTACAAATGACAAACAACAAACTAACTATTGTTAGTCAATTAGAGACATATACCTAATTTTACATTATTACATATTAGACATGTATTTGATGCTATTATGCATTAGTGAGTACATGTCATGCACACTACACACATATTGTTACATGTTTGACACTAGATACACACTATTATATATAAAAACGATATTTTACAGTTATTACATTTTTATATGGTTGCAGAAATCGCTAATTGGCCGCTAATCGGTGGATTAGCGATTAGGGATTAATCGGTTAGGCGAGGATTAATCGGGGACCATTAATTCTTAAGAAAATTATTAAAAAATTTATAAATCTAACTTTAATTCTCCAAAAAAAGTGATTAATCGGCGATTAGGTCCGATTAGGTCCGATTTTGACCTGCATTGACCAACCTGATTAGGTCCGATTAACTTCGATTAGGCCTGATTAGATCCGATTAATTCCGAATTTGACCTGCATTGACCAAGCCCGATTATAGTGACCGATTAGCAATAAATCTCATCGGTGGAGGTCCGATTAGCGATTAATCGGCCGATTAGGCCGATTTCTGCAACACCGCATTTTTAATAGACCATAATAATTGTATCATGCTTGAAATAATAATTTTGTGCATGCTCTTATCACTTCTCCGGATAAAAGATGGCGTCATTGTATGTAGTGTACATGACATGTATTTAATAATGCATAATAACATCAAGGGATAATGACTTAGGAGGGTAACTACCTCTTATCCGTGTTCACATATTGACAACTTCTTCTTTTTTGTACATAATAAAGCAACTAACTTGTTTTAACTGTTTAAATTATACCAATATTACCGGCTAATACATGTTTTAACCGGTAACTCAAATGGAAAATGACTACGGAGGGTAACTATCTCTTATACGTGTTCACATATTGGCAACTTCTTATATTTTTGTACATAAGAAAGAAACTAACTTGTTTTAACTGTGTAACATCCCAAAAATCATGACCAAAAATTTCGTTTTTAATTTAATACTAAAACCATAATTGTCAAACCATTAAATTAATACTCCAGCATCGGGCCTCGCCCGACATCAGGCCCCGCCTGGCATCAAGCCCCGCTCGGTATACATATATGTCTCTCTTAGGCCCCGCCTGTCTCCGAGCCCCACCCACTAAACACATACAATCATCTAACATGCTAACACATAAAGAAACATACTCTATTGTATCCCTGTCCTAAGAAACATACTCTGCTAATAATGAGATACAAAACTTAGTCCGTACTCAGCTAGTTCCAGCCAGGGCTTCAACAGTGCAAGGTGAGTCTCCTCACTGCGTGAATAGGTCTAAGGCCACAATGCCAGCCCATGTAGTCTATGAGTAGGAAGACTCGGGGGTTAGCCATAGGCATTGTTTGCTAGTATGTTATTCCAGACCAAGGTCTGATGTCGGGCGGGTGCCTGAGGAATGTTTTCATGTTAAATTATATTTGTTGTATGTGTGATACTTGTATGTGCCTGTTCAATAGGTGAGTGTGGGCGAGCTCCCGTATCTCATCACTAGTTGAGTACGAACGATGTTTTGTATCTCATTATTACCAGAGTATGTTTCTTAGGACATAGATACAGTAGAGTATGTTTCTTTATGTGTTAGCATGTTATAGGATTGTATGTGTTTAGCGGGCGGGCCCCGGAGACAGGCGGGGCCTAAGAGAGACATATCTGTATACCGAGAGGGGCTCGATGCCAGACGGGGCCTGATGTCGGGCGGGGCCCGATGCCGGAGTATTAAATTAATGGTTTGATAATTATGGTTTTAGTACTAAATTAAAAAAGAAATTTTTTGGTCATGATTTTTGGGATGTTACACAGTTAAAACAAGTTAGTTGCTTTCTTATGTACAAACAATAAGAAGTTGTCAATATGTGAACACGGATAAGAGGTAATTACCTTCCTAAATCATTTTCCCTTTGAGTTACCTGTTAAAACAGATATTAACCGGTAATATTGATGTAATTTAAACAATTAAAACAAGTTAGTTGCTTTATTATGTACAAAAAAGAAGAAGTTGCTAATATGTGAACATGGATAAGAGGTAGTTACCCTCTTAAGTCATTTTTCCTAACATCAAATATATGTCTTATATGTAATAATGTAAAATTAGGTATATGTCTAAGCATCTAGCTTACTATTGTTTCAAGCACGATACAATTATTATTGTCCGTCAAAAATGTAATATCAGTAAGATATGGTTTTTTATATGTAATAATGTGTATGTAATGTCAAACATATAATAATATGTTTGTAGTGTATAGACATGTCCTCAATGCATATGACATATATTTGATGCTACTATGCATTGAAATACCCCCACCCGACCCTACCCACACACATTTGAATTCCCGGTTCTCCTTGACCATGAATTCCACCGTTAACCCGGTCTGGCTAGAAATTCCCGTTTTTAATATTGTTTAACCTGTTTTTTGTTTCATTTAACCTTAAATATCACATTAATTTTTAAATACAAAGCTCTAAATTGAGTATTTATATCTATAAATAAAAATAAATTAAACATAAGTATGATTTCAAGGGCGGGTATTCCCACCATCCACAGCCAACGACATCCCAAGAATACAAAGAACGCATAGAAGCCAAATAACTGATCGCCGAGCTTTGCCGTCAATTTTACCATCTTGGTCGATTCTCCGGCACCGGCAGAAGCATCACTGTCAAAGTTCACGACGATTCCGTATCAAATTCCGACCAACTCATCATCATGTCCCCCTCCATCTCTCTCTACATCTACATACACGTGTACATTTGTTTATATCTCCAGGATATATATTCTGTGGTGATAATTTTTCTTCAAATTTCTGATTTTTTTTTAGAAAATTTCAAAATTAGGGTTTTACGAACGAATATGTCAGGTGTCCAAAAGGAAAGAATGGTAGAAAGACGACATCGACATGTATGTGTTATCTCCAATTCGATCTCTCCTATATTCACCATTACCAAAACCTTACCCCTCTCAAACCTCCTAGATGGTCAGATTGTGTCCCTCTTTTCATGAAGGTACCTACAAATCCAGTAATTGTTTTCATTTCATTTAAATTCACCATCTTTGATTCCATTTCTAGCTGTGCATTTGATCTTTTTATCTGGGTATCAAGATCTTCGATCATCTTCTTGTGTGGTATATGTATATGCTTGTTGATTCATTTTCAATTATCACTTTAGGATTTATTACATATAACACCATTTGTTGAGAATTGATGAAAAGGACAAGAGCAAACCACACTATAACATACAAAAAGTCTGTATACATGTGATTCATTGATTTCAAAATTAGGGTTAGGGTTTTACAGTAACACTCAAAATTTCAACTTTTTTTTAGAATCACCTATAAGTTTCATATGAATTCAACTTCAACACAATTCACAATCCTTCAGGCAAAATGCAACCACTATCTCGTCAATTCAGCTATCAAATTTCACCAATTGGGCATCGACCCATCAATCCCGACCCACGGGTCCATCCATAATCCCAAACGGGTCTCACATCGTTACACTTCAAACGCATCTCTCAAGGCAGGGGTACTTTCGTCAAACAACGATACTCCAACTACCCCAGTAAGTAATTTTTACAATCTTTACCATTTTTTTTTAATAAGAGTTTAAGTAAATTAGTAATATAAGGGATTTTGTTACAGCGTTGTGTTGTTTTGGACATTGAGGGGACAACTACACCTATTTCGTTTGTTACAGATGTTCTTTTTCCATATGCACGTGATAATGTTCGCATGCATTTGGAGGCGACTTATGATAGTGATGATACTAAAGAAGATATTAAATTGTTACGCTCTCAAGTAAGTTTTAAAGTAAATTACATTTTTGGTCCTTTTGATATTTAGAACTTGCCGAGTGTATAAAGAGCTTTAACTCAATCACCCTAACGTCCTATTTATGCTCAACTCAACCGACCTAACAAAGGAAATGACCTAAATATCCTTAATTCATGCATTGACCTGTTTGACCTTCTTTACTTAACCTTGACCAATTGACAAAAATGTTACAAGATGGACCGAAATTTCAAAGGAAAACTTTGTGGGACCAAAATTGCAAAATCAGCTATATTCAGGGACCAAAAATGTAATTTCGATTTGTATTTTTTTTTTTGCTTATAGGTACAGGATGATTTGCAAAATGGAGTTAGTGGTGCAGTTCCTATTCCATCTGATGATGCGGAAAAAGAGGAGGTGATAAGTGCATTGGTTGCTAATGTTGAAGGAATGATAAAAGCCGATAGAAAGATTACTTCTTTAAAACAATTACAAGTAAGAAAAACCAACATTTAAAAACATGTTTTATTATCTTATATCGAATAAAGCTTTGAACTTTGTAATACGGAAATATAAAATAGGAAAATTGTGGTAAAAGAGTAACGTCTGTTGCTATTTGTTGCAATTTGTCCGTAAAAAAATAAAATAAAACGGCTAACACTTGATGATGATCCAGGGCCACATTTGGCATACCGGTTTTAAAAAAAATGAACTAGAAGGAGTTGTTTATGATGATGTTCCTCAAGCTCTAGAAAGATGGCACGCTTCTGGTTTAAAGGTTGGTTCAAATTGCTGAACCTGAACACCTGAGCAAACAAGCTGGTTCAGGTTGGTTAAGAGTTGGCCCATGAATTTTTTTTCATGGGCCAACTCGTATCTTTACCTGACCTTTAATTTTCAAGAAATTTTTGATCAGGTGTATATTTATTCGAGTGGTAGCAGACTAGCACAACGGTTGTTGTTTGGATATACGAATTATGGTGACTTGAGAAAATATTTATGTGGATTTTTTGACACCACAATCGGGTAATTTTTTTAATGGATATTTTTCGGACCCATGGATCTTGGATCCGTATCATGAAGTTTTATTTTTCAGGAACAAGAAAGAGACAAAAAGTTACATCGAAATCTCTGAGAGCCTTGGAGTTGACGAGCCGTCAGACGTTTTATTTGTGACGGATGTTTATCAAGAAGCTGTAGCAGCAAAAGCAGCTGGTACAGTAGAACCAAATGTATTGACGGGTTGTACAGTACAACCCGTCAATGCATTGTGCGAGCTGGATTAATGTTTTTATTTTATTTTTATTTATTGTGTTGATTTCTAACCATCATTGTGTTAGGTTTGGAGGTGATGATTTCTGTTAGGCCGGGGAACGGACCGCTTCCCGAGAACCATGGATTTATGTTGATAAAGTCATTTACGGAAATACCCTTTTGAAGGTTCTTTTTGTAGCATGTGGCGTGTAAGGTAAGATGTAAACCATGAGCAACTTATGATTGTGTTAAATTTCTCAAGAATATATTTAAGCTGAAAAACACGGATTCTATTAACATTTGAATTTTTAACTTTTGGTCCTTGAAAATATATTTTTTGAATGCTATTTGTAATTTGTCCCTTATCGATTTTTGCTTCACAAGAGGGGATCCAATAAAAGATTTTTTTTTTTTTAAAAAAAAAAATCACTAGCAAGATGCTAGAGAAAAGAACATTATAAACATTTTACAACTAAAGTTAGATTTTGTAATCAACCAATTCAATTAACGTCACATTTTATGCATTATATAAATTTCCAAGCATTTAAGCACCGTAAAATAGATAGCACCACCACATTAAATCTTTTCCTTGGAGTTCCATTATGTTGCCACGTGTCCACCCAAGTAATAACATCATGACAAAACTTCAAAAATGGTTCATGTGCTTTTCAAAAATATCAAGTTTAGTCCTTAAGTTCAAAAAACCACATAGATGGTCCCTGTGGTTTCAAAACTTTTAACAAATCGTCCTTTTCGTTAACTCTGTTAGCTTTTGGCCGTTAAGTGAAGGGTATTTATATCTTTTCACTGCCACAGGGACCATTTATGAAGATTTGTCTTATTTAAAAAAAACTAATTATTTAATATTAAAGGGTCCCTCTCTCTCTCTCTCTCTCTCTCTCTCTCTCTCTCTCTCTCTCCTCTCTCTCTCTCTCTCTCTCTCTCTTAAAAACATCGAACCAGGATCATCACCACCAGGTGACATCGGCCAAGGTAAGTGATTTCATGCCTCTACTCCGATTAAAACACATAGATCTACCGTCATCCCTTCCTTTCAGCAACTCCTTTATTTCGATTGTTCAACAATAAAATAAGTATCTCCTACCTTTATTTTGGTTCCCTTCACCTTACTTCTACCCTGTCACCACCATCAATCATAGTCTATGGTTTCTTTCAAAGAAGAGAGCAAACTAGCGTAAGATGGTGGAGTAGGATCAGATATCGTTTCTGTATTCATGTCTAGATCGCGAGATAACCTTCGGGTTCTTGGAGGAACCATCTCAACCATTTTTGGGTTGCTGGAGTGTGGAGTTCTATCGGTGTTATTGTCAATCTCTGCTAACGAGATCCTTCTATGACACAAAGGATCAATCTCCCCTATGTCGATTTGCTCTTGGCGTTATTGTCAATCTCTGCTAACGAGATCCTTCTATGACACAAAGGATCAATCTCCCCTATGTCGATTTGCTCTTGGCTTGGGTTGTCGGTGAAAACCTGAAGGTGTGTCCTCGTCGGAGATACATTTTGCTTCACATGAATTCTCTTCACTGTATTGATATTTGGTTCTTCTTTCTTTACTGCAAGACCCGTGGCGTCGCATTCTAGAAGGAGACGAAGCCCTAACCTCCTCCCTGTGTCGGTGGTGGTGGTTTTGCAGTGCCTCATCGTTTTCAATGTTATCATCATCACCATCGTCATTCTTTAAACTGGTGTCCAAATCGGAATCGAAGCTCCTCTTGGAACGAGAGTATCTTCTTCTGCGATTAGGGTTTTGAGATCCGGAGGAATTACTCCGGCTCCTCCTGAACTCTGAGATTGAGCGTCGCCAGCGGTAGAACTAGGGTTTAACACATTGGGGTCGTCTTCATCGTCGTGTCTTTTGAGTTCATGGTTGATTTGGTGTTTGATGACGAAAATTTCCTTCTTGAAAACTTGTTGATCATTCTTTGTGTTCTGTGGTTGTTGAGGGCTCGATTTGAGGTCGGATTGCGGGAAGCAGGCTTAAAAGCAGTGGTTTTGGTGTTCTTGCTGAGAGAGAGGGAGGGAGGGAGGGAGGGAGGGAGAGAGAGAGAGAGAGAGAGAGAGAGAGAGAGAGAGACCCTTTAATATTAAATAACTAGTTTTTTTTTAAATAAGACAAATTTTCATAAATGGTCACTGCGACAGTGAAATGACAGAAATACCCTTCACTTAACGGCCAAAAGCTAACGGAGTTAACGAAAATAACTATTTGTTAAAAGTTTTGAAACCACAGGGACCATCTGTGAGGTTTTTTAAACTTAGGGATTAAACTTGATATTTTTGAAAACCACAGGAACCATTTTTGAAGTTTTATCTAACATCATTAATCGAAGTCGAGTTCAAAGTAGCTAAAATGCAAGATGTGAAGAAATGGTAGGTGGTTTTCATTGTGATTACCACATAAAGGACATAAAAGGGATTCCACATCGACGCCCATTTTATAAAGATTCGATATAGTCGGGATCCGATGCAACTGAATAAGCTAAGCCAAAATATTTACTACCACATGTATATAAAAAAAAGCTTCCTATTCCGAGTCAAACATCCTCTTTACTAGCCATTTTACCTACTAATCCGCACTATAATCTTTTCCAAAACTTCACCGCCCTAAAAGTAATGATTCCAAAGAGTCTCCAAATAATTAATTACCACTTTCGGTACTTGGAAAAGCGACATATAGTATGTGACAATACATCCCGAATATATATTTGATAAAGGCCGTTCGAGAGAGTTTTAGTTATTCAGTTGAAAAGTTTATAGTGCTAATACTTTCCAATACATATTTTAAAAGGATTTTTGATATAGGAACAAAACTTTTCTGTCTATTAGTTTTCATAAAAGTAAGACATCTTTAAAAAAGTATGCAAACTTATTATTATTATTATTATTTTAAATATTTATATAAATTTGCTAGTATAATGAGTTGAATGATCCCTTAAATTTCATGATTTTTGGAGTTTATTTTTGGGATTTTATAAAAATAATTAAAAAAAAAAAATCACGACTATAGTCATTTTGTAGATAGAAGTTTAGCTTTTTGATATTTTCTTACAATAAAAAAATATAGCTAAACAACTAAAGGGTAAAAAAGTCTTTGAAAAAAACCCATTATATATATATATATATATATGCCAAATAACCATCATTTCCAGAATGAGCCATTTCGGACTGTGTACATTGGTCGACATATGAAAGACCTTCCGAAATGCCCATTCTAGAATAATCCGACTTGTTCCGGATTTCAATTTATAAAACCATTTTTCGGAGTATATTCCGGATCTCGATTAACAAACAATTCCCACACATTCCGAGCAATACTATATATTTCAGAGTTAAGATAGGGAACACTATCATATATTCAACATACAAGATACGATTTAAATCAATATGGATCAAAGTTATGCAAGTAATGATGAACTATGGCCGTGATACCACTATTGTATTTTCTATGTGTCTAAACACACGATCATGCACAAAAACACAAACCCTAAGGATCTAAGTTTCATGCTTTTATTACCACTCTACTAAAACATAAAACATTAAAAAGGAAGAATAATGTACCAGTTATGTAGCCATTGATGTCTATGCTAGAGATATTTTATTACCACCCAAAACAGAGTATCACATCCAATGAACACCAAAAAGAGAATAAAAATAACTAGGAGAAGGGATCAAAATTTTACAAACCCTAATAAGGGATAAGAATTTCATTTCCTAAGAGAAGAGAACAAAGGAGGCAAAAAATCAAGCCAATTGAGCAAATTGAATGAGATCCTAAGCACCCTATTTATAGGCCTTGGATCCTTACCATAATTGCATCTCCATCCAATGTGGGATAGATCCAACTTTCGTTCTCCCCTATCCATTTTGGGTTTTTGGAATATTCAGAATAACCAGCTATTGATTAATTGATATTAATCCCTTGAATCAATTTAATTCCCAAATAGTTTCTGATTAATAGTTAAATCATAATAATTAATAAAACAAATTCTCTTTTATTTATTCTAAATTTGGATCATGAGGGCAACCTAAAAACGCTAAAAACAACATAAGCTTTAAAATTAGAATAAACTTAAAAATCTTGTTTACCCACCAAATATCATTTTGCAAAGCATGGAAAGATTCTAATGTACTATTGACAAGTTATAATACAAAGTAACTATCTTGTTGTCAATTATTGAATATAAACCCTAATTATGGTTAGTAACGTAAAAAAATCCGATAATTCAATTATATATTATTTTTGTATAAATGATATTCATAATACAATGTGGTGAAGTTCATAAACCTTATACTACATAACAAATTCATAACAAATGTTACATATACAATCCTTTGGTGAATTCCTCACCAAATGCGATATATTCTATACATAGCTTAAACATTCAAATGTTAACAAAAAGAATTAGGATTTATCCTAACTCTCATGTAATGTGTTATTATTTTTGATGATAATAATTTGAATTTAAACGATTCAAATTAAGTAAATATACATCATTTTTACCACACTTTTTATAAAACTCACCAACTTTTATAATAGTTTACCTATTCTTTTATAAAAATAAAAGAGATAATTTTTGTCTTATATGGTGATGACACACTTTATTAAAGAATTATTATTTTAATAAAGTCAACTCCTACCCCATACCCTACCCACCCCATCCCCCTCCCCTTTTAAACCTCGGCCAACCCCCCCCCCCCCCCCCCCCCCCCCCCCCCCCCCCCCCCCCCCCCCCCCCCCCAATGATTCTAATGTACTATTGACAAGTTATAATGCAAAGTAACTATCTTGTTGTCAATTATTGAAAATAAACCCTAATTATGGTTAGTAACGTAAAAAACTACATAACAAATTCATAACAAATGTTACATATACAATCCTTTGGTGAATTCCTCACCAAATGCGACATATTCTATACATAGCTTAAACATTCAAATGTTAACAAAAAGAATTAGGATTTATCCTAACTCTAATGTAATGTGTTATTATTTTTGATGATAATAATTTGAATTTAAACGATTCAAATTAAGTAAATATATATCATTTTTACCACACTTTTTATAAAACTCACCAACTTTTATAATAGTTTACCTATTCTTTTATAAAAATAAAAGAGACAATTTTTGTCTTATATGGTGATGACACACTTTATTAAAGAATTATTATTTTAATAAAGTCAACTCCTACCCCATACCCTACCCACCCCATCCCCCTCCCCCTTTTAAACCTCGGCCAACCCCCCCCCCCCCCACCCATCCCTACACTTCATATTTATCATCTTCTTCATTCTTCTTCATTTCATCTCAAGAACAAGGCCACTTCGCTCAAGGTTAATTCCCACAAGTTGGTACTTGATCTTTTGGTAAGTTTTCCCTTACTAATCTAGTGATTCTACACACACACACACACACACACACACATATATATATATATATATATATATATATATATATGTATACTAGTTTTATTACAATTACACGCATTAACATGTGTTA